TTACAGAAGCAGAGGGGACTGGATTAAGCTGGATTAACTAAAGGAGATGAACTGTTAGAGTGAATTGGGGCAGAGTTACTGGATTCTTTCAATTATTCTAACAGGAGGAAGGGGGAAGAATATTTTAAACTCATCAAATCCCCAGCCACCCTGGCCACAGAGACCTTTCTCTCATAGGTGAGAACAGACTGATTTTCTTTTTAGACATCCTTTGTTTGCCCAACTGCCAGCATCTAGTGTCCACCTTTTTTCCCCAGCAGTGGCCTCAGTTTTGGTTTGTGGATCTCCCTCCCCCACTGCAGGTCATGTGGTTAGGGTAGGTGTTTTCAACTCTAGGAATGGAGCCCATTACCCAGGCCACAGCCAGTTTGAACATCACATTTCCTTAGCTGCTGTGGTTGGTCTAGGGATGGTTGTGTCATCTAAGCCAGTCAGACTAAATCTTAAGATTTTTGTGGGATTGAGCAAAAAAAAAAAGATCAGCTCTTTCCCCCTAAATAGAACCTGAGATGTTGTGTGAAGATAGAACTGCTTCTGCCTTCTTGCCACCAGGGTGGGGCTCAGGGTTGAAACTCACAGAATGAAGAGACCTGAGAGAGGGAGAGAGGCCAAGTCCTTGGGGCACTGAATCTGAATAGAGCTGTTTCTAAAGCCGTTCTCCCTCTCTGACCATCAAGTTAAATGAGCCATTAAATTCCCTTCTTTTTCTTAAGCCTGTTTGAGATTTATTTTCTTTTACCTCTCACAACAGAAAGAGTCCGAACAAGTACAGTGTTTGTATCACTTACTTTTCACACATCATCCTATACATTTTTGTCCTGGGTTATATTTTCAACTATAACTATATAAGTGCCTAGATCATAGTAGATATGCAGCCAGTGTTTGTATGCGTGTCAACTCCTGTGTTATTTATCATTATCAATCATAAGATTTAGTATTTTCTATATCTGAATATTTTCTCTCTCCAACTAATTATATTTGTTCATTTTTATTCATGTTTTTATCAGATATTTACTGTACATATCTGACTCTGTGTGAGACTCCATGGATACCATACTGGGTAAAAGCAATCATGTCTTTATGCTCATGGAGCTTACAGTCCAGTAGGGGAGTTAGACATTGGTTGAATTATTGCATAAATAAATCTAAAAGTGCTGAAATGACTGTCCTCACACAGAGACTGGTGATATGCCAGTGTATCAGGAGGGGTTTTGCCCCCGTTGGGGAAGTCAGGGGGGCTTTCCTGAGCAAGTGACACTGGTGTGGGAAACTGAAGAATGAGGAGGAACTGACGAAATTAAGAGGTCAGAGTGGAAGGGAAGTTTTAGACAGAAGAACGGTCTGGGTCAGGCAAGGCCTATAGTAGGCAGCATAATATCTTGGTACACTTTACGAACTGAAAAAGGGTTAGTAGAGCAAAGGAGAGAATGTGAAAGGTCTAGTTTCTTCTTTATGTTAAGAGCAGCAGTGAAGCATAGAGTGTATCTGTGTATGTCTGTGTATGAACAGGTGTCAAATGTGACATGATTAGATATGAATTTAGAAAACATCACCCTCGTTGCTCTGTAGAGAATGGATAGGGGTGAGGGAAGAGCAGGCTGGTGGGTGGGGCGGCATATGTAGAAGACTGTGCAGTTTTCCAGGGAAAGGTTGTGGTTGCTGGAGAAGAAGATGAGTGGGCAGATGAGAGGTATAGCAAGGAGGTAAAAACAACAGGACTTGGTGTTGTATTTAATACAAAGTTAAGTTACATTCTGACCTTGCTCTTAAAGAACAATCCAGGGATCTGGAAAAAATCCTGTAAATTCCAAATACAATCTGCTAAATGTGCTATTGCTACTACAAATACAGGATTATGGTGTGGAGAGTTCTGGAAAGGCTGTGCCTAAGGGTAAACATCTGGTTTGGCTCCTGCAGGGCAAGCAGGATGCTACCAAGTGGAACTTTAGGCAGAAGGACAGCATCTACGTAAGACTGGTGTGAAAGTTTATTTGTTTACTTGTTCATTCATGCATTCACCTGCACTGATTTTTTTGGTACCTCTATGTGTCAGGCATTGTCCAAAGAACGAGCCATCACGTTCTAAATAAGCAACATAATGTCTGGTAATGGGAGTGCTTGGGAAATGGCAAATCTTCCTTCCTGGAGAAAGTATGGGCTGCACTGCGTATATTGGGAGATAACAACTTTGATTTCTTGGCCAGGAACTTATGACTGAAACCTAGAGCAATGACTGTTCCTAAAGTTTCTTTGGCAAGGGAGTTTGAGCAGGGAAGGTCTGGAAGCTGAGTGGCGGAAGAATGGAGCTGGGACAGGCAAGGCAGCCTCATGCAGTAGGTTATACAAGTGACTTTGAAGCACATAGCAGCAGGAGCGAGATGAGGAAGGGATTCTGGAGATATTTTTGACGGAGAGTCAATAGGACTGGAAGAGCACCTGCACATAAAGGAGAGAGAAGTATGTGAGTCAAAGGAGACTGAATTTCCTTGCTTGGGAGTCTGGACAGATGGTGATGTTACTCACTGGGCAATATGGGGAGATGAGAAGTTGTAGGATAAAGATAATGAATTTGTCTGGATACATTGAATATGAGGCACTGGCAGTTCACTTAGGTGTAGATCTTTAGGAATCTCTCCCTTTCAAAACAAAAATTATTGCTTCAGAAGAGAGGTGGGGGTTGCAGATGAAGGTTTAGGAGCTCTAAACCTAGTAGTAAGACATTATTCGATAAATACTGATTTGAGAATGTGACTGTAAAGAAAGAAAATGGCCAAAAGTGGGGCCCCGGAACATATCTGAATTTCTGAGGGGCAGTTGAGGAACAAGAAAATGGACAGAACTGGTTATGGAGTAGTCTGGAAGGTTCAGAAGGCAGGCAGGGGGGCATGGTGTCACTGAAGTTAAAAGGGGTAAGAGGATTGAGAAGGATGGTATGCATAGTCAGTGGAATCAAACGATACCTACAGGTTAAGTACTAAAAAGACAAAATAGAGGTCATCAGTTCTGGCAGTTTTGGTATTGTTGGGATCTTGGACAGAATAATCTAATAGTGTACGGGAATTTGTGGTCAGACAGCAAGTGCACAGACTGAGGGGTGATTGAAGGGAAAGGAGAGGGAGTCAGGGCATGCAGGCTGCTCTTTCAGAAGAGTGGCAGTGATGGGGAGGAGAGAGGAAGGTAGCAGGGAAAGAAGGCAGGATTTCCCCAGAAAGCTTTTCACCTTCTTTTTAATAAGGAGAGGCGAACCTAGGCCACATGTGCAGAAGGAGGGAAAGGGACTTTGTGATTGGTGGAGAGGGGGATATTGAAGAGAAAGCCAATCTTTATTAAGTTCAAGAAACTGATTAAAAACTGGAGGAAGAACGTAAAGGAAGAAGAGAGGTGTGTCTGAGGAAGTTGAGTTTCTGCACCAGCTGCTCTGTCTCTGGGATTATTGCTATGTCGGCTCAGATCAACCATTTATATCACTACAGGAAGATCTGTCTCATGGGAGGCTGAGCACCCAATGAGGGATCAGTCACATTTGCTAGACTGAGTGGTGGATTACTTGTGATGTCTGATATTCCTGTCTTTAGATTAATTTCTTTGCAATTATAGACCTGTTGAGGGTGGTGATGAGACATAACCAATAGTCACCTAGTCCTTGTTAATTCCAGGCAGGGCAATAGCTAATCTATCCAGGAATACACCTTGAGCCAAAAGCTCTCCAACTCTGTTCCCTCCCTGTTTTCCTTGGTGAGCTCTCAGATGAGTGCCCCATCTCCCAATTTCCATGAGTGTTGAATGTCTTCAGGAAGGTAAACCCTGAAGGCTGCAGGTCTTAAACTGGACTCGCATCCAACTGGGCGGTGCTTGCACATAGAAACTAGACATCACATAAGCCATCTCCCCCTTTAAAAACTCTTCCCTTAATACGTAGATGAGAAAACCAAGACCCTGAGAGATAATGTGATTTAATCAAGGTTACACAGTAAGTTTATATTAAAACTAACACTCAGAGCCAAGATTCTGACCAACCTCCTCCTAGCAGGTGGCTTAACTGCTGAAACACATTGCTACTCTCTACTTTGTGTTTTTTTCATTAACGGATTTCTTTCTTGCTTCCTCAGATCTGGGCGAGAATTCTTTTTAGAAATGGGGTTGAGAGAACCAAGAGGAATAACTTGAATGGCTTACAGAAGTAGAAACACATATAACCTGGGGTTTTTTTTATTCTAACAATGAAAAAAAGTTCCCATCTGTGTAATCCATCAATCTGTAGCTGTATTTAGTGGCATTTAAGTCCTGAATTCTGGCTGCTACTGTGGCAAAAAACACATTTTCTCATCCCTAAAAGCCTGGGAGATGGGATCAATTACCTTTAAAGGTGATGGGGGTCAGGGGTTACCTTAAGCATGGAAGAATTTGCTGTTTTTCCTTACCGTGCCCCACTTCACCAAAAGCCTAATTGGGGAAACCCCTACATTAAACTAGCCCAATAAAAAGTGGTTGTTTACATTAACGAAGTCTCTTTTCAAAGGCATTTCCCCTCAGTGTTGTAAACTTTCCCAATACTTTCAAATGTTTATGTATCAATTACCACTTGTCAGCATGGCTTAGGAACAAAAAAATCTAGAAACCTCTAAAGCACAAATGTTAGTCCCTGCTCTCAATTAAATATTAATCAAAGAAATAATAGAGAGTGTCCCTTAAAAAGAATGAATGTCAGCAGAGAAAACAGGCTTTGGTTTATAAAAATTCCACTCACAGGTACTTTGGGAGCAATACCTCATACAAAAAAAAGTGAGAATTGCTTGGATTGACCTTATGCCCACTTCAATGGCCACACACTGAGTCCACACTACTGTTTAGGAACTGTGGTAAGGAAATAAAATGGGACAAGGTGCAAAATGTTTGCTTGGTATGTCAGTCTGATTTCTAAGTATAGAGCATTGTGCTATGCGTGATCTGAGGTTGGTGCCCATAGCCCATGTGAAACATTCACACACTCAGGTACATACATTTTCTCCAGGTCCCCAAATCCAGAAAATGCTCCTTTTGGGATGACTCGAAGCTTGGTCAGAACAAACCTCCTGAAAAGAGAATGGACATAAAATATCACAGTCCATTTACTGATAAATCATTGAGTGCCTAATGTGTAGTTTCTGCTAACAGCCAACATATACTTAGTGCTTGCCATTGAGTACTGATTACAATTGCTTCTAAACGATCTCTTTTCACCCATACCGCAAAGCAGTGATGCTGGCACTATTGTTACCTTCATTTTGCATAAGAGGAAATTGAGGTTTAGAGAGGTGAAAAAACTTGCCCAGGGTTACATGGCTAATACGTAGCAAAGCTGGAATATGAACCCTCTTGCCACTGCTACTCCATGTGTCCTGTAGCGCTGTGTGAGCCCTCTTCTCTTTCTCTACTCCAACCCCCAATATCACTTCCCTATTGCCCAGCTTAGCTGACCTTGCTTCTTACTTCGGAGATAATGAAATCAGTAGAAGAGAACTTCCTTATACTCTCACATGGCTCCCAGCCATCCACCCACCTGCACCAGGGCTTACACACCCTGCCTTCCCTCCTGTTAGAGCGGATGAACTGTCCAGAGTCCTGACTAAGAACAGCCCCTCCAATCCACACCATACCTCTTTTCCTCTCTTCTAGTGAAGGTGGTCATTACAGCAATTTTCCTCTTTCTTTCATACATTCTATTCACCTTTTTTTGCTTTTTTATTGGATTCTGCCCATCAGTATACAAATATGCCTTAATTTTTCCCAGCTAAGAAAAGTCTTAACCTCAGCTAACTTCACCTTTGCCATTTTCTTCTCCTTGAAGTATTTGTCTCACATCTGCCTCAAAATTCCTTCCGGTGGCTCCTCATCTTCGTCAGGAAAAAAACCAAATTGTATCTAATAGCCTGCAGGATCCTGTAGGACCTTCCCACTCTCCCTTCTCATAGACCCTCTAACCTCAATTTTGACAACTCTCTCCTTTGTTTATCCCATTCTTTTCACAGTATTCTGCTGTTCTTTGTACATGCTAGGTTCTTTCTTGCCTAATACTTCTGCATTTGTAATTCTCTCTGCCTGGAACATTCCTCTCTCAGATGTCCTTCTGGCTTGCTCCTTCAGCCAACTGTTTGCTCAAATGTCACTTTCTCAGTGAGGCTTTTCCTAACCCCCCTATTTAAAAATGACAATTTCCCCGACTTAGCCCCTAGCCCCCTTTCTTTATAGTGCTTTTGACAAGTTATATCTTCTATTTATTTATTTATTTGTATATTCGTACATTTATTTACCTTTTACCCACAACTAGAATGCAAGCTCTGTGAGGGCAGGAATGTTTGTGTGACACGTCTACTGCTATATACCAAATGTCTCAAACAGTGGCTGGTGCATGACAAGCATTCAGAAAAATATTTCTTGAATAACTGAATGGATGGCTATCGAACAGTCTCAGAGTTCTAGGCTTGAGGGTAGAATTACAAGTGACCCTTTGGGAATCTCTACAACAGGGATACTGTTTCACTATTTCTTCCTCTGGCTTTCCTCCCTCTCACTTTCTCTTGCTTTGTAATTAATTGAGGTTTAGTTTTCTTCCATTGTAATCCTTCCTTCCACAAGGCAGTCTGTCAGTAGGAATTCAATACAGTGGACTTGGATAGTTTCAGAAACCTTCATTACTTTAGTCTCCTATTATTTATTGGTATTAGTGAAATTCCTCTTTCAGGTAGAGTTATTGTTCAGGAAAACAGTTCTTTTCTTCCACTTTGTTTGCCTTTGGCCACCATGTGCACCAGCTCCATTGGAAGGAATCATGAGAGAGAATCCAGTGTGCTGTTCTTGCTCTAGAGGAGTTTATATAGATGAGAAGGTAAAATCAGAAGCTTTGAAATCACCAAGAGACAGATGTGAGATACAGTTGGTGTAATAACTATGAATATTATACAAGGATTGAAATGTGAAAGATCCCAAAGTACATAAATATATGAGGAAGATTGGAAGGAGTGGGTGAATTTCAGGCTGGTTCTAAAAACTATCCAATCATACTACAAGCATAGTCTGTATGAAACTATTAAATTTAATTTAGGATTGAGTGTAATGGTTCTGGAATAGTAGCAACTTCTAGAATGCCAATCTGAAAAGAATCAAGGTCAGTTCATACTCCCTTAATGTACTCACTTAATCTTAGTTAACATAGACCCATTCCTTTTGTTCCTATTTATCACAAGGCAGAAGAATGATGAAACCAAACTGGTAAAAAAATAAATAAATAAATAAAATTGCTTTAAACTACTCAATTAGTCTAAAATTTCAAAGAAGCTGAAATATTAAGGTAAAGATTAATAA